CGGAGAGGGGGACCCCGGCTGGAAGGAGGGCACCTCGCGTGGCTTGAGCACCGGAGGTGGCCGGGAGGGAGGGTGGCGTTGTCGCCGCCGCCGCTGCCGTCCAGGAAGCGGGGGGCTCCTCTGCTCACCCCCCCTCCGGGGCCGGGCTGGAGACCGCCGTGTGTGGGGCCTCCCCCACCACCACCAGTGGCTCCCCCCCCCTGCGCTTTACGGAGGGCGAGGCGGGGGGGGGGCAGGGGCCGAGAGGCGCCTGCATCCTGCCCTCCTGCGCCGGGCTGTCTTGAGCCAGAACCTGGGGGGCTGCAGCCTTCCTCTTCCTCCTCCTCCTCCTCCTCCTCCTCCTGTTGACGGGGATGGTTCGGTGGGCCCCTCCAGACCTGCAGGTGGGCTGGGCTTTAGGGACGCTCTTTGGCGCTTGGGCGCCTTTATTTGCGGGGGGGGGAGGGGGCTGCTACTCTAGGGCCAGCCATACCTGCCAGCCTGTCCTTCCATCGCTTGAGGGATCCCACCTTCCTTCTAGAAGGAAGTATATCCCCACCCCACCCCAATCTTTGGGTGGTGCGGGGAGGGAGAACACGAGGCTTTCCTCTTCAAACTGAACATGTACAGTTGTGTTATTTACACACCATGGCCCTTGTGCCCAGCTTGATATGGGCACTGATGTAGCGGAGCGCGGGCTGAACGGGTCAAAGCTGTGGGATTTTCTGAACAGCAGGGTCTCTGAGCTCCTCTGCCCTCTCACCCTTCTCAAGCATCCTTGTTTTCTTCAACTTTAATGGGGGTCCTCAGAGCCGCTGGGAGGGAGACGGGTTTTCTCTGGAACAGTAGAGGGTTGCAAGCTGCCCCAGCTGTGATGCAAAGCATGTGGGGGTGGTTTAGTCTGGAATGGGCAACGGAGAGCCATTAGCTTTACAAAAGGCCTCTCCTCCTTGGTTCATTTGGATCCATTCAGCCCCCCTACTTGGTTGGACTCTCTTTATGAGATGCGGGTAGGATCCTGGATGGCTGTGGGGACCGTCCTGATGAATATTTTCACTTCCCGGCTTACCACGATGCCACAGGCTCTGGACAATGAGAAGTATTAGGGCTGTGGACAGAATAGTCCAGGATGCCTCCTCCCTCTTTTAGAGTGTGCCCCAGGAGTGAACGTTAAAGCCACCAGCGGCACCATGCATTGGGGGGGGAGGAGAAAGAGAATGAGTTGGCTTTCTGCCCCCTGGGCTCTTGCGAGGCAAAGAGGCGCGTACAGTGCAGGAGCTGCCCTGGAGAAAATTTGGGCTTCTGAGAGACGCTTGGTGCCTCTGGCTTTCTTGGCCTTCTCATCCCCGGGAGTGGAGTGTGATTTACCGGTGTGATGCTGTTTGGCTTGGCTGCCTCCCTTTTTCTCTTGATGGAGCTGCTGCCTTCGAAGGTGTGTGTGTGTGTGTGTGTGTCAGGATGGGGAGGAGGCTTCCTCCTTGGGGCTTCCAGGAAGGACTTCCTCCCCCCCCCCACCCACCCACTCTGTTGCACGGAGTCCTGGGTATCAGTTCTGCCTGCCTGCAGGTACACTAGAGGCTCTTAGGGAAATGCCTTTGGATTGAACGGGCCTCGTCTGAGAGCCACGCGGAGCTTTTTCGACAGCAGGGCAAACAAGGCTTTGAGCCAAGATGCTGAACTTGGCAAGAACCAAAGGTGCGGGGGGGGGGCTTGAACTTTCTTCCTTTTGCTACCCTGCTGCTGCAAGAAAGGGCCCCCGCCCACCTGCCCCAGTGGCATGCCTCACCTCCAGCTACGCCTTCGGGGCAGGAGACGGGCTCAGTCTCCACTCAGAACGTGGCAGCGTCCACGGTGGGGAAGTTACTTTGCAGACGACAGCTGGGCAGTTCTCTGGCAGTCCTGTTCCATGCAACCAACCTCTCCTATCTCTGGGGAGGCTTCCACCTATGAAAACCGCTGGCTTGTGGGCGAGGAGGCGGTTAGTCCGCAGCGGTTCGCTCTGCCCGGCTTGCACGCTGTGTGCGGTTGAGCGTGCAAGGCCTTCGATGGGTCCTTGCCGTGGATGGCTTGTGTAGACGAGATGCAGGGTGGAGGTCACTTCGGAAACACCGCAATCTGGTCTTGAAGCCTGGGGCCTGGAGGCTTTGCTGGGTGGTACTGCACTCTGCACCTGCCCAGGAGCCATTTCTGCCTCTGCCACCTTCAGAGTTTCCAAGGCGGAAAGCCAGGGGCCAGAGCGGGGCCAGGCCAGCCCAACCGCTGTTTGGCCCAGGCTGGGAAGCCTAGACTGCAAAAGCAGAGCCGTCTTTGCTGAAGTGTCTTGACTACTATTTCCCTGCCTTCACTGTGTGCAGTCCTTGGGGTGTCGGAGAAGAGGATGG